AATATACATATACATCTATGATATATATAAACTCTTTTACCCGTTACATTCTTCATAAGAAACCCGAAATACCCTTTGCTCCACATACCAAATCTCGAGTAGTGAAAATCCCCCACAAACTAAAAGTTAAAGCTGAACGCAATCAAAAAACTCCTTCGAAATACTGAAGAAGAAGAAGATGGAAACGAGGTTTATTTGAATTTCAATAAGGCATTGGGCATTGGGCAATGGCAGCAGGAGATGCACGGGGGTCGCTGTGTGGGCGTGGTGTCTCGAGTTCATTATCCTGTTATGTGCATAGGGCGGCATTTTTGGCTTTCATCTTTTGGCTCGCTGCGCTCAGCTCTTGTTGGGGCACGCAACATTTGAAACGGGGCGTTATTAATTAGCGTTATGAATTATTGATGCGCTCCTCAAGGCAAGAGGGGGGATCTACAGCTGTACCCCCCAGGCAAGACTACAAATTTCGATAGTCCCAACTATTTGCACTTGCGACAAAGAGAGCTGATCCGAAAATATATTGTCTGATATCTTCATTCGGCTGCAGAAGGATGCATAAATCCTAAACTGAGTGCGCGTACATCATGCCGTAGATCCCCACAGCCGGGGGGGCAGCTCAACTGTTGCTGATGCAGCAAAATATGTTCCAATTAGCGAAACTCAAATGCTTGGACAGCTACAGATACCACAAGGAACAGCAAGAGAAGCGAGAGAGAGAGAGAGAGAGAGAGCGAACGGAGTAGCAAGAGTTGTCAAGACAACATCGCAAGGATGACGGCCGTTGGGCAGGTGCTGCGGGGCCGCGGGGTTAGTCCCGGGCAAAAGTTATTCGACTTGTCATATTAGGTTGTGATAAATGTAGTTACATACTCAATGTGATAACTTTGCTCGCCGATTGCTGCCGCCGGCGCTTAGGTAGGGCCACAGCCAAGTCAGCCCTAACGCCAAGTGCCAACTCCCAGCCTCATCATCATCATGATGATCTGCTTTGCCATTTCCCAGATTTTGGAATCATTCAAAATGCTTTTACAACACTCGGGAAATTCCGAGAGCTGCATTTTTTCCACGTCCCTTTTATACTTTTATGGCTTTAACAACCTTCGCCTTTGACCCTGACTTTACAATTGAGACTGAAATACTTCGGGTAGAAAACCCCGAACAGATCCTCTAGCCAGCTCGCTGGCTGATCTACCTGCCGAAGCTGACCTGTTTAGGTTGCTTAAGATTCCACCTGCCCACTGGGCGGCTGAGCTGGACAGCAAAGGATTAAAGCTCTACCTGTGCTCATTAGCAGGCCTATTCGCACATAATCTGGACAATTGGCACGAATTCTTCAGCCGTTTGTTGAGATTGGGAAATCAATAACATGTAGATCACATAGAGCTGATGAAATTGTAGTACCTACCTACCACATGTACTAAATATACKAGGTATATTACATATACTCAATATACCACATATATTTGGGTATATAATATTATTTCCTGAGACCTCTTTAATCGCTGCTTCGACCACCCGTGCTGGCTTGCCTTAATTAAAGACTTGAGTGTATTTGTTTTATGTATTATTATTGCAACGGCCAGAGTCAAGTATACTTTAATCTCAAATATCAACAAAAACAGCTTCGCCTAGTGCTACTGGGCGTCTCCGCTTTCGCACTGCAATAACAAATTGTCAATTTCTCACCAATACCAATTTTCAATTTCTCTAATACATTGTTGTCTCTCTTCAGCATATTTTGGCTCTCTAATTGCCCAGCACTTGAGTGGTTTTTACTATGAACCATGACAACAGGAACAAAACACCAACAACATTTGCCAACACGTGCCCCAGTGGCCGTTGCCAGAGACGCAAGAGCTGGCACGTAGCAGAGGAGAATATATATAAATAT